TATGTAGGCAGTCATACAGACAGAGACAAGTTGAACATCATTATTTTGATGTAAAGGAAAAATTAAAGAAAATCTTTTTAATTGGTTTTTTCGTAATAACACCATTGCTTTAATGTCAAAGCGACGGAAGCTCCGCAGCACTTTCAAATCTAGTAAGCAGTCCGTGTTAAAACTGGCGGTTCTTTTTATAAACAACAACAAAAAGGAAATTAAATAAAAACTGATAATTTTGTACGTAAGAAAAGACGACAACATATAAAATATATTACGCACACAACCAGGCGATGCAGGGAAACCTTCTTCGGGACAAAAACCCTAGCATACGCCGCACAATTACTCGAACTAAACTAACAAAAGACAACAGAATCAGGTCACAAATTTCAAGATCCTAGGTTCGTCATATTTTTTCCAAAAACACCAACGTGTATGTTGTTGGTTGTGCACGTCGCAGGGGCAATAAACTAGCCTGACTTGTTCGCCGATCTTCTTGCTTAAATCTTTCGATATTTGCCATCCGTACAGTCCGGAAGGTGTTGTCATAGCTGTTTTGGAGATGTCCTCGTCTGCCCCTCGGATTTCGTGTTAGGGTTTGATAAGGTCTATTTTGGAAAATACATTCTTCTCGTGTAGACTTTGAGCGAAATCTTCTATGTGTAGTACCGGGTATTGATCTGGGATGGTCCTGGCATTGAGTGAGAGGTAATCGACGCAGGGTCTCCATTCCATTGATTGCTTAGGTACCATGTGTAGTAGAGCTACCCGAGGACTACTGGATTGACGTGCTATTCCTCGTTGAACCATGGTTTGAAATTCTTGCATGGTCACTTTGAGTTTGTCTGGGGCTAAACGACGAGGTTTTTGTGTCACCGGCGGGCAGCCCGCTATTTTTATATAGTATTGTGTGCGCGAAGTTGTGGTATCCCGGCTGGTCTAATTACCCCTGGAAATTGTTTCAGAGGTTCTTGGCAATTGGAATTTCTATTCATATGCTCCCTTGGCGGGACTTAGTTTTTTCCGTTAGTCTGCGAATGAGTCTGCGGGTCTATTAGGGTTCTGCGCCTGATGGCTGCAATTAGTGCGTAATGGAATAGGAAATCTGCTTCGATGACTGGTCTGGTTACATCTGCTATGATAAATCTATCCAAGAGAACTGAAATATGTAAAAAAATTAAGTGGTAGAGGGGATCAAAACAAGCACTTGTTTCCAAATAAACCGAGGGTCCAACGTGTTTCGTTTGGTAGCCACCTCCAAAAAAATGGTTAAATTTTCATTTCTTCTTTAATGTTTTTCTCTGCAACCACAAGAGTTAGAAAGACTGGTGGCACGTCTTTGAGTACATTTTCGGGTATGCCCTTTCCGATTGTGCTAAACTTGTTTCAAAATTCCTACCAAGAAAGGGCGCAATTCTAAATTGGGGATGCGAAAAAAATTCTGATTTCAACGAAATTTTGTATTTAGGGGGTTTTGAACATGAAAATCACCAACCTGAAATTAGTTTCTGAAGATTCAAAAAAAATCTAACGCAATTGCACGACAAAATAAAATTGCTTACTTTTTATTGGTAAACTCGATGGCATTTTTTGGCTTATACAACTTTTGGCACAGAATATCGTAGTTAGACTTACGGAAGGTATGCTTCTATAATTGTTCGATATGAAACTAAGGAATCTTTTATAGGCTAACGTAAAAAGCTCGATAAAATATATTATATATATATTATAATTATATATTCTAGTTTTGTATATCATTCCATTTGATCCATTTTATCTTGTCGCCTCATTTGTCTGGATAATTTTGTTGCAGAAACGGAAGTATTTTCTAGTTGAATTTATATTAATAATATCGTTATGTACGAGTAATTCCTATATGTATGGAACCGTAGACAGACTGACTCCATTAAATTTCACGCTCTGCTTAGAAATATTATTACAAATTTTTGCGTTTTTTCCAGTTGAGAAAAGAATGGATCAATTATTCTTCCGGTTTCCCCTACCCCTTTTCGGCTTTCACGTTTTCGGAATGGTTTCTAATCCATGCTCCGCTTTTTAATCTACTTCTTGTAGTGCACCGCTTTACAACCACCTTGAGAACGTTAAATAAACGTTAAAATTACGAAAATGCATTAAATTTTACTGTTGGTTCACTTAATTCAACATAGCATAGGTACCTATCATTACGTCTAAACTATTTGTGGGAAAAAGATTTCGTTTGATGAATTTTTGATGGAAAGTTTTGTCATCATTTTCCTTGTTTCATTTACGACCACCATCTTATTCGCAGTGTATTACATCGCAAAACGATACTTTGCTTTTTTTATTTTTTATATTAGCGGTCTGGTTTTGTGTTTTAGTGCATTAGCATTTCTGCACCGTAAACACACCCACCAAGACACGAACAATAAAGTAGATACCTAACTTTTGCCGTAGGGTCCAAGTTTGCTATTGATCGAGCAGTGTAAATTGTCATTACTGAACGAAGCTTGTTAGATTCCATAAGTGTATGTCATCCAAACCGCTTCCCCTATTCAGTAAATTCAGGTTCGTGTAATTTTGATGCAGAAAAACTTGAAATTGATGTAAAGAGCTAAATCGCTTTTTAAGCTACACGAAGTGTAAAATATTGTTTCATTCCAAACCGAAAGTTGTAGAACGAATAGGAAGTTAAGCTGCACATCGCCATTAATTCCGATAGAATAACCTTAATTTGGTTTTGATCCCTCTTGGAAATTATATGAAGATTTACGATCTACCTACTTTAATATGTGAACATTGATTAATGACGCTTCCATAAGTCTTTTATTCCTTTAGAGAAATTATTGGAGAAGGTAATTTTAATTTAACAAGTGTTGTATTTATGCACCAACTGATGCCTTGTTTGCTTACCGAAATACATATTTAAGCGCCTCATTACACACCTATACCACAATGAAGCTCGTGGCCTAAATTGTTGGGAATTTTGTTTGTTAACGGTACCGTGTAGTGCAAATCTGTCCATCTGCACGTAATTAATCCCTTTAAACTATCCATAGAATGTTACGAATCCACTATGCCAAAAAGGGGTGGTGGAAGTTGGTCAGAAGTGAAGTAAAAACGGCAATAAATTTTTTATTTGTTACACTGTTGTGACAATCTCATTCCAAGTTGGCACCATTTCAGGCATAAACCACAGCAAATTGGATTCGTCACCGTGAGTCAATTACAAACATCAAACCTCATGCTTTGCGGATGAAACTACCCAATAATAACGCCCTAAATCTCTACGGCGCTTGTTTTTCTATTCTTGCGAAAATTTCGCCGGCTTACTCAACAGAAAACGGACATAAATTATCTTTTCATCGCCATTTTTGTTTACTAGAATTTGAATTTAATCTCTTGAAATTAAATTCGGTTATTTGAAAATGACAACCCGGTTGTTAGATTTATGTGTGTCTTGCTATACACCCGAAGCTTTCATATAATATGTTATGTTGAAGAGGTGTATTTGAATTTCTGTTATTTGAAAGCTAGCGCACTCAACTCCATACAAACTGCATTAGGATGCTGCAATTCATAACTCTATTTTTTGCAATGCTGGCTAGATTCTACCCTATGTCCCTTAAAGTGTGCATCGACGTCTTAATATGGCTACCCCAGTTATCATATTGTAACGGAAATGCTCCAGACATGACGTCGCCTTTGGCGCTCTGGAATTTTCTACGCGTATTCGAGAATGTTCGGGACTTACATTGCTTGCGTGTATAAATGGTTGCGGACTGAACATCGCGGCAGTCTACTACCGAACGAGTACGGACGAAACATCGAGCGCGGAAATATAAATTGCGAAGTGTGAGTGATATAAATAATCGATATAAATTGTACGGATTTTATAGTGTTTTAGTTTTGTTTAATAAATATTGATATAAATCGAACCCGAATTTATAAATCACGTTACAATATTGTATGGGGGAGGTGAGTAAAACTGGATATCCTGTATATTTAAAAAGAACTAGTGCTATCTGTACGATGCGAGTCGACCTTATAACCTTTCGTGTCTACTTGCATCGGGAAAATTAGATTCCTACTGCATCTGGCTGGGTGCACCCCTAAATCGGCACCCCAATTTGTGACGTGTTATCTATCTATCCACAGGGGAGGCCGTTGAGGCAGCACTTAGACACACCAAAGGCTTATTGGCACCTCCTTTCTTTCGCAACTAGGTTCAGAGCTCGTTCCTCTCAATAAATGATAGGCCCCTACTCGGGCCCCTGTTTAGCCTAAGTTGCGTCACCCTCTCCGGTTCCAGATAGCTGTCGGCAAGGATACTAGGTAGTCCAAAATAACTGAGGACAGTTTGAATTTCCCGCAAAACTAAACGTTTATAATGTTGGTAACATAGCAAATGTCATTTATTTAAAAGCAGTGGTGGATCAATTTAATGGACCAAACAATAATCAATAATTTTATAGCATTATGTTAAATTGCGTTTTTAATAGGTTTGAATGAGTAGGCTAAGCCGTTCTTTAACCGTAAGGATAGATAAGGTGATCACTTTAACCGTAAGGGTAGATAAAGTGAAACAGATAACTGTGAATTTTAATGACATCCGTCATTGTTATTTCAAATGCACGATATAAAATGGCGTTCAGAACATATGACAATTCTGTTTCTATGGAGTCGATCGCGACGGCAGAGCCTAAGCTTGCCATTTTTTATGTCTCTAAATTAATTACAGAATTATCAGAAGATTTACAATTATTTATATGGCTTCTGCTATAAAATAAAGTATTGTATTATACACAACGATAAAGGGAAACTAACCATCTCGTGAAAGTTAATTTTAACATTAACATCTTTCACTCAATGGTTAACATATCCCTTTATCGTCTTGTACAAAAATAACTATTGTCAAGCGCAGATTTATTCTCCGGTTCATGATTTCAAGTATTCATTTTAACGTTGCCTCGTGCGAAAGTCACGATAATTAAACGATCACCGTAAATTTATTTTCAATTGTCCATGTACAATAGTTCTAATGATATATCTCTTCGCATAAATAAACCTATGCCTCATCATCAAAACTTTATTCCGATACCTTCGTACGAAGGTTTGTGCCACGTATCATCGAAAACCGGTAATAATAGCAAATAGAGATGTTATCGTTTAAAATCTTATCTGATTAGATAATTTGCAAATTAATGCTACCTTCTCTTACATCCTCGACAACTCCCACTAACATGGTAGGTAGTATATTTCTCGTTAAATTACAGTAAGCACAACCGAGTCGGATATGAGCATCTTCTAACCGTGTGCGTCTTTAAAATGAATGCATAATAAGCCAAGAAGCCAGTCCCTTTATTCCTAAAAAGTAAGGGTACAAGATCCTTATAAAGTGTTTTCCCTTAATGTACGTACCTTTGGCACTTGGGAGAGTTGGTGCTGCATTTCCTCAAATCCACCGCATAAACTAGCTCCGGGTTAATAAAGAAAATACAAGCTTGAGATCTGTTATAGCAGTAGTTCGTTCTGAGCATTTGATCTTCGTCCTTACCAATGGTTGAGCGCCACACAATTTCCATTTTAACTCTCTCCGTATGAAATTGAGAAGGTACCAGGGTAATAATAACTGTAAAAATCAATATAGGTACCACCAAAAATACTAATTTATCCATAAAAACCCATATCAAAATAATAATATTGTCTCTACAATTGGATAGCGTATCACAAACAATATAAAATACTCCCAAATAACCAAAGTTATGTTACTCACAAATCTTATTAAGTTCACTATACAATTGAAATTCCCCAATTTAACAACCCCGCAATCCAGAGTGATCGAATAACAAAACTAATTACTGAATCATGTAACAGATTTCCACAAATTAATTGATATTCTGGAGAAGAATTCGCACGTATACGGCCAAGTGCAAGTAAAACATAAGGCACACTTACCTTGGAATAAAGTTAGATGTCTACGCCAAGAACTGAGCTCAATTCTCGCATCCAAAACCTGCAATAAATCGAACAAAACCTCCCAAGCAGCAGTGCTTGGTATATAATTAGTTGGATAGTGTCTGAAGGGCCTCGCTCTACTCGTACTTAGTTCGCCAACCACTTCAGAAGGAAGTAGTGGACTCCAACAACATTCTTGTTTGAAGCTCGATCATAACTCAACAGAGATTACAGGAATACTCAGTTAAAAATTAATTAAATATAACCCATAAGGTGCAAAATAGTAATCCATAAGACGCTAAAGGTTTATGCAAGTTGTCCCAGGTGATTGTCGATCCTCGGTGTTATTAACTGATTTCTGATAATGATTTCGCACCAAATAGCCGCTTGGTGTCGACGGATGTTGAGGTAAGCGTCGGTACGGTGAATTTAACACAGGGTTCTGAGGTGAAAGCTGTACGTAACAAAAACTTTGCTGGTTCTCCCCCACATAACTTGTACGTCGAACAATAACTGGTATGTAACATAAAACGTAAAGCGGGCTACTCGTAAATATCGATAAAAATTACATCCGAAACATGTATAACCTCCACTTGGAGCACAGGCGAATCCTGTCCGAGCTGGTGGCACTGAGATCTCCGCCAACTATCGCCGCTTTCAGCGTCTGCTATTAATTTAAATATATTATAACTGTAGTTTATTGTTCTAATTAAACTGTAGCGTTGATTAAACTAATTTTAGAGTTCGATTTTTATTACAAGTTGAACAATATTGAGATTACTCCCAATATTATTTAGTGTAAGCACAGGGTGGTACACAGTCTCATGCACCGAATTTTAAAGACTTGGAAGCCCCATGCTCACGTAGAGTGACTAAACGACTTTTGTGTCAATAGTAATTTATTCTACATTTTACGTTGTTTATATACAAAATTTTATACAACAATTGGCAAATTAATTGCAATCTGTTAATTGCAAATTGAAAACTAACCTAGTCAATGTTGTGTGCAAATTGTCCTCATTTACAAATAATGCAATGTAATTTTATTTCTTAATCCTACTTTCTTTCCCAATTAACTATTTCTCTAATATTTGGCCAGCGCCCTTTCCTGTTTAATGGTGATATTAAACATTCTGCCAGCCGCGCCCTAATCTATCTTTTAGTTTTGTGTTTCCCCGGGAATAGTTGAATATAATGGTTCTAACTGAACTGCTTCGTGATCGTTGTCCTTGGTATGTGATTTGTTTCTGTGCTGGATGTAGAATCTTATTCCTAGTACGAGTGCCAAGATAATTGCAATGAGTAAGGTAGTTGTCGTGCTTGTAATAATGGACTGTGATGTTGTGGACCGCCATTTGATATTTCGAATATCTGCATTAAGAGTTTCTTCTTCGTCTTTTAGCTGTTTAAAAGAGTCTTCTGCATGGAATATTGATTCTTCTATTACTTTGGTTATTTGCTGAGTTGACCTTGTATGATTATATGGTTTGTTAAACTGTTTTATGTAGCTACCTAGTACTGATAACTTTTTATCCCGTTTCGGATTGAGTATACTTTTCTTTGTTTTCAACAGGCAATCTTGTGAAATCCTGATAATTCCAGTGGCATTGATCGTGATTTCCTGTCGTTCGCCACTACAGGAGATAGCGATACGTGTGGACTGATTAGTGATGAACATCCAAGTATTGGTGGCATAGAGTTGCTTCCAAATTAATCCTTGAATCTCATGTTGTTGTATATTGCATTGGTTAATTTCTGTTCTGTTGTAGACTTCGTCAATGATGCAATTTTTGTTTTCTTCTATTTTCTTCACCATAGTGGGAGCACATATAAAATTGTGTTTGTTTGTTTGTAGGCAGTCTTTGAATTCTTCATTTGATATTTCGAAATATAGTTGATTGTTGTAGTCCACAGCTAGCATTTCTTCATTGACATTTAAGGTCCAAAACGTAGAATTTTCAATTTTTATAGGAATTGGGGTGACTTTCATAATCACGTATACCGTGATCTCTGCCACCAGAAAAAACCCGAACACATGAATCACTTCCACTGTTTGTTTTGTAGTTACTTTGATTATTGGATGTGGTAAAATCTTGAGGATGCTTGGTAATTTCTGCTCTGCCGATGTAATAATACTTCTGATGTGGGTTTCTGATATAAGTTCTTGAAAGTTCCCTTGGTTGTAGTGGATGTTTCTTATTTTGCTGTAGTGATTGTGTACTTCTGTTACTAGATTCACTGCTAGTTTGATATGTACTTAAGATGTGAATATTTAGTCTGTTTTCGTCTATTGTTTTATACCATTTCTGCATCTGGTTTATGGCTTTTATCGCTTCATTTAATTTAGTGTTGAAGCGCTCTAATTGCTTCTCGATGCGGTTTTCTGTCTCTTTAAATTTTGATATAGTAGACAACATTATTTTGGATTGTCTTTCTGAATTCCGCATTAACTCTTGCTGATTCTTGTTTAACGCATCAATGTCCTTGTATACTTCGTCATTCACACCGAATATCGCCGTTAATATATTCCCCAAGATACCTCTTTTTTTACGAGTTTGACTTATGTAGTTGATTCCCTCTTGTACCCATCTCAATTGATTTTCTTGATCCTCGATATGTTGCACCAATTCTGTACATTGTACGTTTTCTGTCATTTCTGTTGCGTTCTTGCACAACTCTTTGAAATTACTAGTCGTTAGAAATGCTGCGTTTATATCCTCTTTGATTCGTGATTTGTTGTATTGTAGATCGATTCGGAATATACCTCTTTCAATTTGAACTTCTCCCATGTGTTCAATGTAGAAACCTGGCTTTGGATATGTAATATTGTATTCTGCTGTTACTGTGACCAATAGCATTAGTATGCTTATAACGAATGTTTTCAGATTGCATCCATATGCGTGTTGTTGTGATGTTGCTGTTTGATTTTTTTCTGCGGTGTTACCTTCTTCTGTCGTGATTGGTATTAGTTGATGAATACTCCTTTTTGATGCTTTCCCATCTGCCTTCTGGATGGTAACAATGCGTACAGTGCCGTCTTCTGATGGATGTAATTCTTTGATTTTTGCAAGTGGCCATTTCCCTGGACTCAAGTTGTCCTCTTTGATGAGTACTATACATCATTTATCTTTGGATTGTCTTCTTTTGTTTTCCATTTATAGCGTTGTTGTAAATTATGCAAATAATCCGTCGTCCATGCTTTCCAGAATTGTTTCTTCATGTTTTGTACCATTTTCCATCTGTTGCTTAAGTTGAGTTCTATTGTACCTGATGATTTCGCGAATGGTTCTATTATTGGTTTTCCTATTAGAAAGTGACCGGGTGTTAGTGTTGTACCTCCGTCTACTACATCACTGGACTTTCCTATTGGTCTTGAATTTAAGCACGCTTCGATTTGATGAGTTAATGTAGTTAATTCTTCATATGTAAGTGTTGATTCCCCAATTACTCTTCTTAAATGGTGTTTTAAGGACTTAACTCCACTTTCCCAAATTCCTCCCATATGTGGACTTGCTGGGGGAATGAAATGCCATTGAGTTCCAGTTGACACCGATGTTTCTTGCACTTCTCTACTGTGTACTATTTGTTGAATTTCTTGCTGTATCATATTGCTGGCTCCGACGAAGTTGGTGCCGTTGTCGCTGTATATGTGTTGGCAACCACCTCGTCTTGCTGAAAATCTTCTGAAAGCCGCGATGAATGTTTCCGATGTCATGTCACTAACAACTTCTAAATGAATCGCTCTTGTTGCTAGACATACAAACACTGCAATGTATCCTTTGTATGATTTATGGCCTCTGCCTTTCCATGCTCTTACTTGTATGGGACCGGCATAGTCAATTCCACAATGTTCGAACGGTGATGATGGTGTTATTCTGGATGCTGGCAGATCTCCCATTATTTGATGTAATGTTTGTCCCTTATGTCTTATGCATGTATTGCACTTGTTGATGATTTCTCGAACTGTTCTTCTACCGGTGATAATCCAATATTTTCTTCTTAAATATGCTAATGTTATTTGAAGACCTCCATGTAATGTTTTTTGATGTGCATCCAAAATCAGTAGTCGTGTTAGATGGCTGTTTGCTGGTAGAATGTATGGATGTTTTTCGTTGTATGATAAGTAAGAATTGCGTAACCTCCCTCCTACCCTAAGTAAACTGTCTTCATCTTGAAACGGATTGAGCGATTCTAACTTGCTGTCCTTGTGTACTTGTTCTTTCTTACTTAACTTTTGTATTTCCCTTGGATATGTATTCTGTTGTGTTACTTGTATATGTTTCTTTAATGCCGTATTGAGTTCTTCTACTGTTAAATGTTCGTCAGCTACTGTAATTTTTTTGCAATGCTTGATGAATCGAATGATGTATGCTGTCACTCGAATTAGTTGTGTTAGTGAAGAAAACTTTTCTGCTAGCTCGTTCCTATTGTTCACTATTATTGTCATAGTTTTCTTGCTCTCTACCTCTGTTGTAGGATATTCGCTTGTACTGTGTTTCCATTTATCTGTTTTTAGCCATATGGGTCCATTCCACCATAACGTGTTGTTTTTTAATTTGGATGTTGTTGTTCCTCGCGATACCAGATCTGCAGGATTATCATTAGTACGCACATGGTTCCATTGTTCTTTTGCGGTCATGCTTGTGATTTGTGCCACTCGACTTCCCACGAAGGTTTTCCATTTGTTTGCGTCACCTTTTATCCATGCGAGTGTGATCATGGAATCGGTCCACGCGTACACTGTTGTTTTTGGTATCTGTAATGCTTCTGTCACTCTTTTTAGCACCTTTGCTAGTAGCACTGCTGCACACAATTCCAATTTAGGTAACGTTTGCCTGGTTCGTACTGGGGCGACTTTTGATTTTGACATTAATAAACTTATGCACCCATTTCCTGTTTTTGAGTACACCACTGCTCCATACGCTTTTTCTGATGCATCACAGAACCCATGAAGTTCTATTTTTTCTTGGTCTTGATCGTACTGCATCCATCTAGGTATCCGTAAGTATTCCACCATACTGAGATCGATTTTGAAGTTTGTCCATTCTATCTTGATTGATTCCGCCACCTCTTCGTCCCAGCCTGTATTGGATAGCCAGAGTCTTTGTATGAGTAATTTTGCATTTAGGAGTATTGGTGACAGCCAACCCAAAGGG